AGAAATTCTCTAAAATTCATTTGGAAATTCATCCAAAAAAGAAAACAGCAGCTCCTCCCCATCCAGGTCAGTCCCTCTGATCAGGGAATCCTGCAATAATTTGGGTTGGAAAAGATTTTAAAATTCCAATTTCACCATCCCTGCTCCAACCTGGCCTTGGACACTTCCAGGGATCTTCAATTCCTTCCAACTCCTCTTCTTATTCTTATTTCAACATTATTTTATTCCATGGCATTTCTAAATCAGCATTTTTTATCTCAAGGTTTGTACACAGGTTTGGAGAACTGGAGAAATTCTCTAAAATTCATTTCCTACAATCAGAAATTCACCCAAAAAAAGAAAACAGCAGCTCCTCCCCATCCAGGTCAGTCCCTCTGATCAGGGAATTCTGCAATAATTTGGGTTGGGAGGGATTTTAAAATTCCAAACTTTAAAGCTCCAAACTTCAAGTTTTAAAGCTCCAAGTTCCACCATCCCTGCTCCAAGCTCTGTCCAACACTGGACACTTCCAGGGATCTTCAACTCCTTCCAACCCCTCTGCTTATTCTTATTTCAACATTATTTTATTCTATGGCATTTCTAAATTAGCATTTTTTATCTCAAGGTTTATACACAGGTTTGAAGAATTGGAAAATTCTCTAAAATTCATTTCCTACAATCAGAAATTCATCCAGAAAAAAAGAAAACAGCAGCTCCTTCCCATCCAGGTCAGTCCCTCTAACCAGGGAATTCTGCAATAATTTGGGTTGGGAGGGATTTTAAAATTCCAAACTTTAAAGCTCCAAACTTCAAGTTTTAAAGGTTAAAGTTCCACCATCCCTGCTCCAAGCTCTGTCCAACACTGGACAATTCCAGGGATCTTCAATTCCTTCCAACTCCTCTTCTTAATTCTTATTTCAACATTATTTTATTCCATAGCATTTCTAAGTCAGCATTTTTTATCTCGAGGTTTGTACACAGGTTTGGAGAATTGGAGAATTCTCTAAAATTCATTTGGAAATTCCCCCAAAAACAGAAAACAGCAGCTCCTTCCCATCCTGGTCAGTCCCTCTGATCAGGGAATTCTGCAATGATTTGGGTTGGGAGGGATTTTAAAATTCCAATTTCACCATCCCTGCTCCAACCTGGCCCTGGACACCTCCAGGGATCTTCAATTCCTTCCAACTCCTCTTCTTATTCTTATTTCAACATTATTTTATTCCATGGCATTTCTAAATTAGCATTTTTTATCCCAAGGTTTGTACACAGGTTTGGAGAATTGGAGAATTCTCTAAAATTCATTTCCTACAATCAGAAATTCATCCAGAAATAAAGAAAACAGCCATCCATGTGAATTCCTCATGCCCCTCTAACCAGGGAATTCTGCAATAATTTGGGTTGGGAGGGATTTTAAAATTCCAATTTCACCATCCCTGCTCCAACCTGGCCCTGGACACCTCCAGGGATCTTCAATTCTTCCCAACTCCTCTTTAAAATTTAAAAATTCCTGTGAGACTCAGCACTCCCCAGCATTCAGCAGAACCCCAAATCCTCACTCCACAAATTCCCAAAATTCCCACTCTGGACCTTTTGTTTTTTGGGAAACTCAAATGGAAGGCAGGAATTTTGAAATTAATTTAAATTAAGAGGGAGGAAGGTGGAGCTCAGGTTTGAGCCAGGAAATTCAAGTGGAAGGCAGAAATTTTAAATTAATTTAAATTATGAGGGAGGGAGGTGGAGTTCAGATTTGACCCAGGAAATTCAAGTGGAAGGGCAGGAATTTTAAATTAATTTAAATTAAGAAGGAGGGAGGTGGAGCTCAGGTTTGAGTTAGGAAACTTAAATGGAAGTGCAGGAATTTTAAATTAATTTAAATTAAAAGGGAGGTGGAGCTCAGGTTTGAGCCAGGAAATTCAAGTGGAAGGCAGAAATTTTAAAATTAATTTAAATTAAATTGTTCAGGAAGGAGCACCAAGGATTTTGGTGATGTTTTCTTCTCACAGCCCCAGCAGAAGCTCAGAAGCACAAAGTTCCACCAGCACATTTCAAACAGACACGAGGATGCTTTAATTAACACTTTAATTACCAAGAACTCCTGAAATAAATCTGACCCTCACCACAAATTCCTGCAGGTACCAAAACCAGAATCCTCAGGAGGATTTAAAGGATTTAAACCAAAAAAAAATCCAAAAAACGCTCAGAAACTTCTACCAGCACATTTCACAGACCTGAGGATGCTTTAATTAACATTTTAATTACCAAGAACTCACCTTTAAATCCTCCTACCAGGGACAGAGAAACAACTCTGACCCTCAGCCCAAATTCCTGCAGGTACCAAAATCAGAATCCCCAGGAGGATTTAAAGCATTTAAACCAAAAAAAAATTTTAAAAAACTGCACAAATTTCCACCAGCACATTTCACAGACCCGATGATGCTTTAATTAAGACTTTAATTGCCATAACTCATCTACAGCACCTCCTGCCAGGGACAGAACCAACTCTGACCCTCAGCACAAACTCCAGGTACCAAAACCAGAATCCTCAGGAGGATTTAAAGCATTTAAACAAAAAAAACACAAATTTCTACCAGAACATTTCAAACAGACCCAATGATGCTTTAATTAACATTTTAATTACCATCAACTCCTACCAGGGACAGAAACAACTCTGATCCTCAGCACAAATTCCTGCAGGTACCAAAACCAGAATCCTCAGGAGGATTTAAAGGATTTAAACCAAAAAAAAATTTTAAAATCTGCACAAATTTCTACCAGAACAGTTCACAGACCCGATGATGCTTTAATTAAGACTTTAATTGCCATAACTCATCTACAGCACCTCCTGCCAGGGACAGAACCAACTCTGACCCTCAGCACAAATTCCTGCAGGTACCAAAACCAGAATCCTCAGGAGGATTTAAAGGATTTAAACCAAAAAAAAAAACCAAAAAATGCACAAATTTCTACCAGAACATTTCAAACAGACCTGAGGATGCTTTAATTAACACTTTAATTACCATAACTCACCTTTAAATCCTCCTACCAGGGGACAGAACCAACTCTGACCCTCAGCCCAAATTCCTGCAGGTACCAAAATCAGAATCCCTGGGAGAATTTAAAGGATTTAAACCAAAAAAAAAAAAAAAACCAAAAAATGCACAAATTTCTACCAGAACATTTCAAATAGACCCAATGATGCTTTAATTAACACTTTAATTACCATAACTCATCTACAGCACCTCCTGCCAGGGACAGAAACAACTCTGACCCTCAGCACAAATTCCAGGTACCAAAATCAGAATCCTCAGGAGGATTTAAAGAAAAAAACCCCAAAAAACTGCACAAAATTCTAGCAGCACATTTCACAGACCCAATGATGCTTTAATTAACACTTTAATTACCAAGAACTCACCTTTAAATCCTCCTACCAGGGACAGAAACAACTCTGACTCTCAACCCAAATTCCTGCAGGCACCAAAATCAGAATCCCTGGGAGGATTTAAAGGATTTAAACCAAAAAAAACCCCTCAAATTTTTACCAGCACATTTCAAATAGACCCAATGATGCTTTAATTAACACTTTAATTACCATAACTCATCTACAGCACCTCCTGCCAGGGGACAGAAACAACTCTGACCCTCAGCACAAATTCCTGTAGGTACCAAAACCAGAATCCTCAGGGGGATTTAAAGCATTTAAAGAAAAAAAAACCCAAAACTGCACAAATTTTTACCAGCACATTTCAAATAGACCCAAGGATGCTTTAATTAACACTTTAATTACCATAACTCATCTACAGCACCTCCTGCCAGGGGACAGAACCAACTCTGACCCTCAGCACAAATTCCTGCAGGTACCAAAATCAGAATCCCTGGGAGGATTTAAAGGATTTAAACAAAAAAAAAACCCTCAAATTTTTACCAGCACATTTCAAATAGACCCAAAGATGTTTAAATTAACACTTTAATTACCAAGAACTCACCTTTAAATCCTCCTACCAGGGACAGAAACAGCTCTGACCCTCAGCACAAATTCCAGGTACCAAAATCAGAATCCCTGGGAGGATTTAAAGGATTTAAACCAAAAAAAAATTTTAAAAAACTGCACAAATTTCTACCACCACATTTCACAGACCAAATGATTCTTTAATTAACACTTTAATTACCAAGAACTCATCTACAGCACCTCCTGCCAGGGGACAGAAACAACTCTGACCTTCAGCACAAATTCCAGGTACCAAAACCAGAATCCTCAGGAGGATTTAAAGAAAAAAACCCCAAAAACTGCACAAACTTCTAGCAGCACATATCACAGGCCCAATGATGCTTTAATTAACATTTTAATTACCATCAACTCCTGCCAGGGGACAGAAACAACTCTGACCCTCAGCACAAATTCCTGCAGGTACCAAAATCAGAATCCCTGTGAGGATTTAAAGGATTTAAACCAAAAAAAAACAAAAAAAATCATATTTTTATGGATCCCATCAGCACTAAACCAGCTGGGCACTCTAAATCAGCACCTTCCCAGCTGCTGGGAGATCCCAGATTGGGAATAATTCCCAGGAAAAGGGGAATTGCCTTCGGGAAAAGGGGAATCACCCACGGGAAAAGGGGAATTACCCACGGGAAAAGGGGAATCACCTCCGGGAAAAGGGGAATTACCCCCGGGAAAAGGGGAATTCTGTCCGGGAAAAGGGGAATCGCCCCAGGGAAAAGGGGAATCGCCCCCAGGAAAAGGGGAATCGCCCACGGGAAAAGGGGAATCATCCATAGGAAAAGGGGAATCATCCACGGGAAAAGGGGAATCGCCCACGGGAAAAGGGGAATCGCCCACGGGAAAAGGGGAATCGCCTCCAGGAAAAGGGGAATCGCCTCCTGGAAAAGGGGAATCGCCTCCTGGAAAAGGGGAATCGCCTCCAGGAAAAGGGGAATCGCCCTCGGGAAAAGGGGAATCGCCCCCAGGAAAAGGGAATCGCAATCGCCCCCTGGAAAAGCCTTTCAGAGCCATCACGTTGTGCATGAGGACACCAGAGCATCGCCCGTGCCCCCGGTGCCCGCGGCTCTCGGGCTCCACGTGCTCCGGGCAGCGGCTCCGTGAGAGCCTCCGAGCACCGCCGGGAGCAGCGGAGAGCGGGCACCGAGAGGGGCACGGCGGGAACCGGGGCTGGACCCCGAGAGAGGCAGAGAACGAACCGGACCCGGAGATGGGACGGAGCCAGACCCCGAGAGCGGCGGGACGGGAACCGGACCCCGAAAGGGGCAGGGCAAGAACCGGGGCCCGAGAGGAACAGGGCAAGAACCGGACCCAGAGAGGCGCAGGACGGAACCGGGGCCGGACGGGAGCCGGACCCAGAGAGGCGCAGGACGGGAACCGGACCTCGAGAGCGACAGGGCGGGAACCGGGGCCGGACCCCGAGAAGGGCAGGACGGGAACCGGGCACCAAGAGCTCTCCGAGAGAGGAGATCAGAAACCGACCCCCGAGAGCGGCGGGGCAGGAGCCGAATCCCGCGGCGAGCGACCCCGAGGGAGGCAGCCCCGGCCCGGGAACCATCCCCGGCAACAGCCCCGGGAAGCATCCCCGGAGCAATCCCCGGGAACCATCCCCAGGGGCAGCCCCGGGCCAGGAACCACCCCCGCGGCGGAAGGAGCGGTCACCCCGCGGTTGGGTCCCCGCCGTGCCCGGTGCCCCGCGATCCCCACGTTACCCCCAGCCCCGCTCCCCCCACCCCGCCCCCGCCGCACTTACCGGGACCGGGCCGCGCCGGGCCGGGCCCTGCGCCGCGGGGCCGCCGCCGCCACCCCGGGCCGGGCCGGGCCTGGGCCAGCCCTGCGGGGTGGGGCGGGATGGGGATGGGGAGGGGGGGGAGGGGAGGGTGACCGGAACGGGGAAAAACGGGAAAGAAACGGGAAAAAAAAAAAAGGGAAAGAGGAGGCGGCCCCTCCCCCGCGGCGTGCGCGCTGCGTCAACGCGCCGTGCGCGCTGCGTCATCATCCTGCGCCCGCTGCGCCCGCGTTGCTGTGGCAACCGGAGGGACGCTACGCGGGAGGGGCGTGGGGCGCCCCCTGGCGGCGCGGAGGGAGCGGGGGCGCCTTTTATGGAAATGGGCGTGGTGTGGGCGGGGTTATGAGCAGGCTCCGCCCAGCAGGTGCGGTGGGAGTTCGGCTCCGCCCCCTCGGGGATCCCGCATGGGCCGGGGTCCTCCGACCCCGGGGGTCTCGAATTCACCAGGGGTCCCAAATTCACCTGGGATCCCAAATCTCCTCGGGGGTCCTGAATTCACCAGGGGTCCCAAATTCACCTGGGGTCCCAAATTCACCTGGGGTCCCAAATCTCCTCGGGGGTCCCGAATTCACCTGGGGTCCCAAATTCACCCGGAAGTCCCGCAGCTTCCAGAATCCTCTGTCCCTGGGGATCCCAAATTCTCCAGGGGTCCCACATCTCCCCGGGGGTCCCACATCACCAGGGATCCCACATCCTGCAGGATCCTCTGTCCCCCAGTATCCCAAATTCCGCAGGAATCCCACATTTCCCCGGGGGTCCCACATCACCAGAGATTCTACAGTTCCCAGGATCCTCCATCCTCAGGGATCCCAAATTTCCCAGGGGTCCCACATCACCAGGGATCCCAAATTCCCCAGGGGATCCCAAATTCCCCCAGAATCCCACAGCTCCCCAGGAAACTCACATCACCAAGGATCCCAGATCCCCCCCGGATCCTCCGTCCCCAGGAATCCCAAATTCCCCAGGGGTCCCAAATTCCCCAGGGGTCCCACATCTCCCCGGAGGTCCCAAATTCCCCAGGGATTCTCCATCCCCGGGCACCCCACATCCATGGACACCCCTCATTCCAAGGGATCCCTCATTCCCCCCATGGATCCCTCATCCCCCAGAGAACCCCCTCCCACCCGGAATTCCCTTTCTCTGAGTCTCCCCCATTGGTCGGGATCTCCAATTTTCAGATTTCTCCACCTCCAACCACTCCTCGACCCCCCAAAATCCCCCTTCCCCGACCTCCAGAGATCCCCTCACCCTCGGGGATCCCCCATTGGTCGGGATTTCCCATCTCCACCTCCAAAGAGCCCTCGACTCCCCCAAAATCCCCTTCTCTGAGCATCCCCAGAGATCTCCAGTGATGCCCCCGCCCTCGGGGATCCCCCGTTGGTCAGGATTTCCTATCTCCAGGTATTTCCACCTCCAACCACCCCTCGACCCCCCAAAATCCCCATTGGTGGGAATCTCCCGTTTTCAGATATCTCCAAAGACCCCTCGACCCCCCAAAATCCCCTTCTCTGAGGATCCCCGACCTCCAGAGACCCCCCCACCCTCGGGGATGCCCTCAGGACACCCCGGGATCCCCCCGGTGTCCCCGGGAGTCCTCACCGCGTCTCTGCCCGTGCACCGGGCCGGGATGGCACCGAGGTGACACCGAGGCGACACCGAGGCGACACCGGGGTGACACCGGGGTGGCCTCGATGTCCCCCCCGAGCTGCCCCAGCCCCATCGGCCCCGCTCCACCTTAACCGGAGCGGCCGCTCCGCTCTGCCCGGGCGGCTCCGGCGGAGCTCGGGGGCGTTTATCTCACCCGGGATCAGCCAATATTTGTGGCCACGTCAGGAGGAGAACGAGCCCGGTGCTCCCGGCTCACTCCAGTTCCACCCCCCTGCTCCCGTTCTGCTGCTCGGACGCTGCTCGGGGTCCGTCCCGTTGTCACCTCCCGCCACCGGCGATGCCGCTGCCCGTGGTTCTCCTTCTCCTGAGCCTCCCACGGCTGGCGGCCGCCAAGGGCGGGCGGTGCCCGGTCTGCGGGGCGGCCTCGCTGGCCCCCGGGGCTCAGCGGGACGCGCTCCTGGCTCTGGCCAAGCAGAGCATCCTGGCCAAGCTCCGCTTACCGGGCAGACCGGGCGCGCCGCGGCCGCCGTCCCGGGGCTCGCTGCTCACCGCGCTCCGCACGGTGCTGCGGGACGGGGCTGCCACCGCCGGCATGATCCGGGATGGAGCCCCCGGGATGAGCCGGGATGGAGCCGACACCCCCGGCATGATCCGGGATGGAGCCCCCGGGATGATCCGGGATGGAACCCCCGGGATGAGCCGGGATGGAGCCGACACCCCCGGGATGCTCCGGGATGGAGCCCCCGGGATGGTCCGGGATGGAACCCCCGGGATGAGCCGGGATGGAGCTGACACCCCCGGGATGGTCCGGGATGGAACCGACACCCCTGGAATGCTCCGGGATGGAGCCGCCACCCCCGGGATGCCCCGCGATTCCACCCCCGGGATGCTCCAGGACGGATCCGCCACCCCCGGGATGCTCCAGGACGGATCCGCCACCCCCGGGGCGCTCGGGACGGGGCTGCAGGAGTTCGAGCTGCTGAGTTTTGCTGAGTCAGGTGAGGGCGGATCCGCGTCCGGCGGGTGGGGGGCACCGGGGGGAGGGTTCACAGAGGTCCCAGGACGAGGGAAGAGACGAGAAGGATCTTAACTCCATGTTTCAGAAGGCTGATTTCTATATTATTTCTATTATATTAAATTTATATTTATATTTATATTTATAGGTTAATTATATTTATATTTATAAATTATCTATATTTATATTTTAAATATATTTTACATTTATATTTATATGTTAATTATATTTATATTTATAAATTATCTATATTTATATTTTAAAATATATTTATATTTATATTTATATGTTAATTATATTTATATTTATAATTTATCTATATTTATATTTTAAAATATATTTATATTTATATTTGTATGTTAATTATATTTATATTTATATTTATAAATTTTCTATATTTATATTTTAAATATATTTATATTTATATTTATATGTTAATTATATTTATATTTATAATTTATAAATTATCTATATTTATATTTTAAAATATATTTATATTTATATGTATATGTTAATTATATTTATATTATTATATAAATTATAATTTTTAAAAAATATATAATTATATATATAATATATATAATTTTATATATAATATATATTAATATATATATTATATATATTTTAGTGTATATATATTATATTAAAAGAAAATTATATTTTAAAACTATACTAAAAAAATAGAAGAAAGCATTTCATCAGATGGCCAGCAAGGAAAGGAAAAAATGGAATGATAATAAAATCTTGTGACTGACCAGAGAGTCCGAGACAGCCGGATTGTGATTGGCCATTAATTAAAAACAACCACATGAGCCCAATCCCAGATTCACCTGTTGCATTCCACAGCAGCAGATAATTATTATTTACATTTCATTTCTGAGGCTTCTCAGGAGTAAAGCCCCTAAGGAGAGGATTTTTCTCCAAACCCGTGCGAGGCAGGAGGGCGGGGAGGCGCCGGGCAGAGCCGGGGTGGATGCGGGTTCGGGTTCGCTGCTGCCGGAGGCGGTGCCAGCTCCCGAAGCTGCCCAGGTGCAAGGGTGGCAGCTGTGCTGCTCTGTGGTGTCCCCTGTCGCCCGCTTGGGCTGAACCCTCCCCGCTTGTGCTGGAGGTGAAGGGGTCACACGGCCACGTTTTGCTAAAATGGGATTTTTAGGTTCGGTTTTCTGTCGGTTCACAGCGTGTGGATGGAGCTGCAGAGCTGACTGTGCCTGCACATCCCACCCAGAGCAGGGGTGCCTCATTTCACCCCAGAATCTGCTGCTTCTGGCAGGGGAAAACTCCCCAAAACACACTCAGGGCTCCTGAAAGAAAAAAAAATAAAAATATCACCACAGGGAAAAAAAGTATTCGATTTCTACACAGACATCTTTCCTTGGAGAGACCCAAGCTCACCACCCCATCCCACAGAGCATCCTGTACTGTCACAGAGGTGTTTTCTGAAAAATCCCTTTGCCAGGATTATCCTCCTGAGAAGCTGAGAGGTCTCAGAAACGAAATGCAAACAATAATTATCTGCTGCTGTGGAATGCAACAGGAGCATCTGGGATTGGTCTCATGTGAATTGTTTTTATTAATGGCCAATCACAGCCCAGCTGTGTCAGACTCTCTGTCACCAGTTTTAATTAAGATTCTTGTCTGGCTTCTGATGTTCCCTTTCTCTTTCTTTAGTGTAGTTTTAGTGTATCATTTCAGAATAATGTATCATACCAGCCTTTCTTTTCTCTTTTTTAGTATAGTTTTAGTATCTCATTTTCATATAATATATGACTATAATATAATATAATATAATACGATATAATATAATATAATATGATATAATGTAATATACCATACTATATAAAATAATATCATATAATATTATAATAATATAATATAATATAATATAATATAATATAATATAATATAATAATAAATTAGCCTTCTAAGAACATGGAGTCAGATTCTCAACTCCTTCTCCATCTGAGGGACCCCAAAAATACCACAGGGACCCCCTCCCCAGCAGGTCTGGGGATGTCCCAGATGGAATATAATATAATATAATATAATATAATATAATATAATATAATATAATATAATATAATATAATATAATATAATATAATATAATATAATATAATATAATATAATATAATATAATATAATATAATATAATATAATATAATATAATATGTAGTGTGATTAATATAATATTATAATATCATAATCATATCATAAAGTAATAAATCAGCTTTCTGAGAACTTGGAGTCAATTCTCATCTCCCACCTCGTCCTGGGGACCCTCACAACACCAGCACAACAGGGCTGGGACAGGATCAGTCCCCCTGTCACGAGCTTCCATCATCATTCTTGTTCAGCTTTCTGATGTCTCCTTTCTCTTTCTTTAGTCGAGTTTTAGTGTAGCATTTTCATGTAATATAATATAACATCATATCGTATATATCATATCACATCATATCGTATCATATCATATCATATCATATCATATCATATCATATCATATCATAAAATAATAAATCAGCCTTCTGAGAACTGGGAGTCCATTCTCACCTCTCATCCCACCCTGGGGACCCTCCCAACACCGCAGCAGGGCTGGGGCAGGATTTCGCTTCACTCCTGATCCTCCTCTCGCTTCTGCCCAGGTTCCTCCACTTCCCGCAGCGTCCGCCTCCATTTCCGCTTCTCCCCGGAGGTGGCCAGGAGCGCTGAGGTCCAGGAGGCCACGCTGTACCTGTTCTGGACATCCCCTGGGCCCCACCCTGTCACCGTCAGGCTCCTCCAGCCAGACCCAGCAGGGCCAAACCTGACGGTGACCAGCGAGGCCCGGCTGGAGGTGCAGGCACCCGGCTGGACCACGCTGGACGTGGCGGCGGCCGTGCAGAGCCTCTTCACCCGGGACACCCCACGGCTCACAGTGCACCTGGAGCTGCCAGAGCACTGGGGATCCCCTCTGCCGTCCCACCAGGGCCATTCCCACCGGCCCTTCGTGGTGGCCAAAGCTCGTTCCAGGGCTCCCCACCGCGTGCGGCGGCGCGGCGTCGATTGCGGGGCCGACTCGCGGATGTGCTGCCGCCGGGAGTTCTTCGTGGACTTCAAGGAGATCGGCTGGGAGGATTGGATCATCCAGCCCGAGGGGTACGTTTTGAGGAGATAAACAAAGCTCCACAACTTTTGTGAAGTTTTGAGGAGATAAACAAAACTCCACAAGTTTTTTGTGGAAGTTGTAAAGTACAACTTTATTGTACTTTACAATAAAGTTCACGGTACTTAAAGTTTATTACAGTGCTGGATGCATGTGGGAATCGTTCTTTTAAAATGACACATGTACTTCTGGGGGTTTCAGGTCCCTTTTTATCTCCTTCTCCAATATATATGCATAGAATTTCACAATAGGTTGTGAAAGGGACACGTTGGGCACCACAGTGCTGGTACCTGTGTTTTGTGGAGATAAACAAAACTCCACAACGTTTTTTGTGGAAGTTGTAAAGTACAAACTTTATTGTACTTTACAATAAAGTTTACAGTACATTTATTACAGCGCTGGACGCATGTGAGAATCATTTTTTTATAATACCACACGTACTTCTGGGGGCTTCAGGTCCCTTTGTATCCCTTTCTCAAATATATATGCATAGAATTTCACAGCAGGTTGTGAAAGGGACAAGATGGGCACCACGGTGCTGATACCTGTGTTTTGTGGAGATAAACAAAACTCCGCAATTTTTGTGAAGTTTTGTGGAGATAAACAAAACTCCACAACGTTTTTTGTGGAAGTTGTAAAGTACAACTTTATTGTACTTTACAATAAAGTTTACGGTACTTAAAGTTTATTACAGCGCTGGACACATGTGGGAATCGTTCCCTTACAATGCCATGCGTACCTCTGGGGGCTTCAGGTCCCTTTTTATCCCCTTCTCAAATATATTTGTGTACAATTTCACAGCAGGTTGTGGAAGGGACAAGATGGCACCACGGTGCTGGTACCTGTGTTTTGTGGAGATAAACAAAACTCCACAATTTTTGTGAAGTTTTGAGGAGATAAACAAAGCTCCACAACGTTTTTTGTGGAAGTTGTAAAGTACAAACTTTATTGTACTTTACAATAAAGTTTACGGTACATTTATTACAGCGCTGGACGCATGTGAGAATCATTTTTTTATAATGCCATGCGTACTTCTGGGGACTTCAGGTCCCTTTTTATCCCTTTCTCAAATATATATGCATACAATTTCACAATAGGTTGTGAAAGGGACAAGATGGGCAGCACGGTGCTGGTACCTTGTTTTGTGGAGATAAACAAAGCTCCGCAATTTTTGTGAAGTTTTGAGGAGATAAACAAAACTCCACAAGTTTTTTATGAAAGTTGTAAAGCTGGTACATTTATTACAGCACTGGACGCATGTGGGAATCATTCCCTTACAATGCCATGCGTACTTCTGGGGGCTTCAGGTCCCTTTTTATCCCCTTCTCAAACACATATGTGTACAATTTCACAATAGGTTCATGCATCTTCATTTTTGCAAATTTCCCGTGACATTTGCTGCATGTTCTTCTTTATCAGAAAGAATTCTTAGGTCAGGTTTGTCACAGACATCTTTTATGAAAAATCCTTCCTGAGAAGCCGAGAGGCCTCAGGAACAAAATGCAAACATTGATTATCTGCTGCTGTGGAATGCAACAGGTGCATCTGGGATTGGGCTCATGTGGTTGTTTTTAATTAATGGCCAATCACAGCCCAGCTGTCTCAGACTCTGGTCAGTCACAAGATTTTATTAACATTCCATTTTTTCCCTTCCTTGCTGGCCTTCTGATGAAATCCTTTCTTCTATTCTTTTAGTACAGTTTTAATATAATACATATATCATAAAATAATCAATCAGCCTTTCTGAAACAGAGATGTTTTATGAAAAATCCTTTCCTTAGGATTTTTTTCTCCTGAGAAGCTGAGAGGCCTCAGGAACAAAATATAAACATTGATTATCTGCTGCTGTGGAATGCAACAGGTGCATCTGGGATTGGTCTCATGTGGTTGTTTTTAATTAATGGCCAATCACAGTCCAGCTGGCTCAGACTCTCTGTCCGAGCCACAAGCCTTTGTTATCATTCTTTCCTATTCTATTCTTAGCCAGCCTTCTGATGAAATCCTTTCTTCTGTTCTTTTAGTATAGTTCTTTTAGTATAGTTTAGTGTTCTTTTAGTATAGTTTTAATATAATATATATCATAAAATAATAAATCAGCCTTCTGAAACATGGAGTCAGATCCTCGTCTCTTCCTCATCCTCAGGCCCCTGTGAACGTGGTCACAGAGGCTGACCCGCTCTCACAGCGCTCTCTCTGTCTCTCGTTATCTCCCTCTGTCTCCCCCCCTTATCTCTGTCTTTCACTGAAGCAGTTTCTCTGAGGCTTTTGCAGTCAGGCTAAATATTGCCAGCTTGGGGTCTGTGTACAAATCACAAACAGGATGGGGCTGCTGAGGAACTGCCTTGAGCTGTTTGATTTTCCAGCATCGGTCTCATTCCATGGTGATGACAATGGGAAGATGCCAGCAGCTCACAATCCAGGCAGCAGACCAAGAACTTAATGTTACAACTCACTTTATAAGTTTTTGGACCAATCCCACAAAGCAAAAGCACATTGACAGTAGCTCTATCCAGTCACCATAAGCACAGGTACCTTTGGTTAAAACAATGCTTGCTTATTTTGAATACAATACCTGCTTGTAAGCCCTAAAACACAACGCACAGAGCAACATTATTAAGCTTCAACCTTCCTAATATCTTGCTAGATAAACTTTTCTGTAGCTTAGAGAGCTATTCAGACAAGCGTTAATACACAGGCCATTGTTCTATTTGCCTTTGCTTTTCCTACAGTTTAAATAATTTTTCTGCTGTCCTATCTCATGGCTGCTTTAGCTCTGCTCACAGTTCTGCTGTATCTGAGGCCTGCCTTTTGCAGCTTTCCCAAAACCCTCTGATTTTGTAAATTCCCACCGCTCAATAGCTATATTTTCTAACCACAGACTCAACTCAAAAAAAAATCTACATTTCGCTTAAATCAAAACGGATTCCTAGCCTGGAAAATTTCTCCTCTGCCTCAGGTACCACATGAATTACTGCTCGGGGCTGTGCCCGCTGCACATGGCCGGCATCCCCGGCCTGGCCGCCTCCTTCCACACCGCCGTCCTCAGCCGCATCAAGGCGGCGAGCGCGGCGGCGGCCGTGGGTTCGTGCTGCGTGCCCACCCAGCGCCGCCCGCTCTCGCTGCTCTACTACGACCGCGACGGCAACATCGTCAAGACCGACATCCCCGACATGATCGTGGAGTCCTGCGGCTGCACCTGAGCGGGCATGGGGAGGGTGGGGGGGCTCCTTCCCGGCTCCTCCCGGCTGGACGGACTGAGGGACTGAGGGGTTGAGGGACTGAGGGACTGAGGGACTGACAGACTGATGGACTGAGGGACTGAGGGACTGAGGGACTGACAGACAGATAAACTAATGGACTGAGGGACTGACGGACTGAGGGACTGATGGACTGAGGGACTGACAGACAGATGGACTGATGGACTGACAGACTGAGGGACTGAGGGGCTGAGGGACTGACAGACAGATGGACTGATGGACTGAGGGACTGAGGGACTGAGGGACTGAGGGGCTGAGGGACTGATGGACTGAGGGACTGAGGGACTGAGGGGCTGAGGGACTGACAGACAGATGGACTGATGGACTGAGGGACTTCTCCTGACAGACTGACGGACTGACAGACCGATGAACTGATAGACTGATGGACTGATGGACTGACAGACTGATGGATTTATGGACTCACGGACTCATGGACTGAGGGATTGACAGACTGAGGGACTGACAGACAGATGGACTGAGGGGCTGAGGGACTTCTCCTGACAGACTGACGGACTGACGGATTGATAGATTGATAGACTGACGGACTGAGGGACTGATGGACTGACGGACTGATAGATTGATAGACTGACGGACTGACGGACTGACGGACTGATGGATTTATGGACTCATGGACTCATGGACTGAGGGACTGACAGACTGACGGACTGACGGATTTATGGACTCATGGACTCATGGACTCATGGACTGAGGGATCAACAGACTGAGGGTCTGACGGACTGACGGACTGACGGACTGACGGACTGACGGACTGAGGGATTTCCCCAGCTGCAGACCCCACATCAGCCCGGTCCCTCTGCCGTCCCCCACCAAGGCCCAGCTGTGCCCTGGGTGCAGCCACACCAGCCCAGGACCCACCCGTGTCCCCCTGGGCTGCTGGGGTGGCGAGGGCCGAGGGCCGGGGTCCCCCATGGTCCCAGCCGGGTGGACACGAGGCTGAGCAGGGAGAGAAGAGGGAAATGCATCCAAGCGGGAGGAATTGTCTCCCTCTGCAGGCACCCCGGCTGCTGTGCTCAGTGCAGGTTCCCAGTGCTCTGTGTGTGTGTGTGTGTGTGTGCCCCGTCACTCCTGGCACACCTGGAGCGCTCCTGGCACACCTGGGGTGCTCCTGGCACACCTGGAGTGCTCCTGGCACACCTGGGGTGCTCCTGGCACACCTGGAGCGCTCCTGGCACACCTGGGGCGCTCCTGGCACGGGCAGCCCTGGCATGGCACGGCACAGACCCAGCCTGTGGCACTGGAGCCTCCAAAGCACCCCCCGCACGCCCTCTGCCCCTCAGCTGCCTTCCCCAGGGAGGGCAGAACCCCAAATTCATCCCAGCCAGATCCAGGCACCCCCCTGGACACAGGTGAAACGCATTGCATGAAAAATCCTTTCCTTAGGATGACAGGATTTTATGAAAAATCCTTTCCTTTCCAAAAGGTAAATAATGATTATTGTTTACATTTTGTTTCTGGGGCCTCTCGTCTTCTCAGGAGGAAAAATCTTTTCCTTAGGATTTGTGTCGCAGACACGTTTTATGAAAAATTCCTTTCCTTACGATTTATTTCTCCTGAAAAGCTGAGAGGCCTCAGAAATGAAATGTAAATAATGATTATCTGTTGCTGTGGAATGCAACAGGTGGATCTGGGATTGGTCTCATGTGGTTGTTTTTAATTAATGGCCAACCACAGTCTGGCTGTCTTGGACTCTGGTCAGTCACAAGATTTTATTGTCATTCCATTTTTTCCCTTCCTTGCTGGCCTTCTGATGAAATGCTTTCTTCTATTCTTTTAGTATAGTTCTAATATAATATATATCAGAAAATAATCAATCAGCCTTTCTGAAACAGAGATGTTTTATGAAAACTCCTTTCCTTAGGATTTTTTCTCCTGAAAAGCTGAGAGGCCTCAGAAATGAAATATAAATAATGATTATCTGTTGCTGTGGAATGCAACAGGTGGATCTGGGATTGGTCTCATGTTGGTTGTTTCTAATTAATGGCCAATCACAGCCCAGCTGTCTCAGACTCTCTGGTCAGTCACAAGATTTTGTTATCATTCCATTCCTATTCTATTCCTCCAAGCCTTCTGATGAAATCCTTTCTTCTATTCTTTTAGTATCGTTTTAATATAATATATATAATAAAATAATCAGCCTTTCTGAAACTGATGAAATCCCTTCTATTCTTTTAGTACCGTTTTAACATATAATTTGTTTTAATATAATATATATAATAAAATAATGAAACATCCTTCTGAAACTGATGAAATCCTTTCTTCTATTCTTTTAGTACAGTTTTAATATATAATTTCTTTTAATATAATATATATAATTAAATAATAAATCAGCCTTTCTGACACATGGAGTCAACATTCTCATCTCTTCCCTCACCCTGTGAACAGTGGTCTGTAATCCCCACCAGGAAAGGACAATCCCCTTGTTGTACCAGACCCCCCATTCCACCAAAACCACCTGAATTTGGGCCATCCCTGCCCCAAACCAGGACAGAGAAATTCTTTTTCCTTTTGGAGCAGACAAATTCCAGCTCCCCCCATTCAGAGCATCCCCCGGGCTCATCCCCAGTCCTGTGCCCCTTGCCAGCCCGGTGACACCAAAATGGGACCTCTCAGACTCTCTGTCAGTCACAAGATTTTATTATCATTCTATTTTTTCCTTTCCTTGCTGGCCTTCTGATGAAATCCTTCCTTCTATTCTTTTAGTATTGTTTTAACATATAATTTCTTTTAATATAATATATATAATAAATTAATAAATCGGCCTTTCTGACACATGGAGTCAACGTTCTCGTCTCTTCCCTCACCCTGTGAACAGCACCACAGGGTCTGTAATCCCCACCAGGAAAGGCACCACTCCTTGCTCGGAACAAAAATCCCCCATTCCACCAAAACCACCTGAATTTGGGCCATCCCTGTCCCAAACCAGGACAGAAACGAGAAATTCTTTTTCTTTTTGGAGCAGACAAATTCCAGCTCCCCCCATTCAGAGCATCCCCCGGGCTCATCCCCGGCCCTGTGCCCCTTCCCAGCCCGGTGACACCAAAATGGGGCATGGGACACGTCAGGGCCGTGAGAGCAGGGGACAAAGGGCGGCTCTGACACTTCTGCCCCGTTACGTAACCGGGGTCGGGTTTCTCCACCCCTCCTCGTGTGTCCCCCGTGTGCCAGGACTGGAAAAAGGGGAGATCTCGGGGGTTTTGCTGCTCTGAGTGACTTTGAGACGCGTTAGAAAATCTCTTTTCCCAGCCCGGTGGTCAAGGAAGGGGTCAGAACTCTTCATTTCTCTGTCTCAAGGTTATTTATTGTTTCTTAGCTATAAAATTCTTTATTTTGTCCAGCTGAGGTCTGTTCAGAAAGACACACAGAGGCACTGTGCTTGCCTTCAGGGTGGTGTTATCTTTTTATACTAAAAACTACATTATTTACAATAATTTTCCAACACCTATCACCTGTGTTAGACAGTTTGTCTCTACTCTAAACCAACCCAAAAGTGCCATCATCACAGCAGAAAATGGAGGCCAAGAAGAAGAAGAAGGAGAAAGGCTGGACATGCCCAGATTCCTCCATCTTGCCTCCTAAACCCCCATTCTAAAAACCCCAAAATTCTACATTTTCACCCTGTGATTAATTCACTATTATTCTGCTCAAACTCTTGTGGCTTGTAACTCCTCACACAAAGCTGGGAATTGTTTCCAGCCCTGGAGGTGCTGTTAGTTTTTTATACTATGGATGACATGTACAATATTTACAATAATTTTCCAGTACCTATCACCTGTGTTAGACAGTTTGTCTCTACTCTAAACCAACCCCAAAGTGCCACCATCACAGCAGAAGATGGAGGCCAAGAAGAAGAAGGAGAAATTCACCCAGATTCCTCCATCTTGCCCTCTGAACCCCTAAAAACCCTAAAAAATCTATTTTTTCACCCCATGACGAAGTAATTATTATTCTACTTACATTCTCATGGCTCGCAGATCCTCATATAAGCTTGGTAATTTTTTTCCATGGGTTAAAATCCAAGTCACAGGGGTCTTGGGCTCTGTGCCAGGGTTTCTGAGCTCCCTGGCAGGGGTTTGGGCAATCCAGGACAGACAGAGGGATGTCCTGAATTCCCACAGATATTTGGGCAGGGGGTCCTGGGGTGATGCCTGAGGGGTGATTTCAGCTTTAGGGTCCACCCTGCAGGTGCTGACAACCACTGATGGCTGATCCAGGTGGAGAGAGGCTCAGAAGAGTGAGGAGGGGCTCTCAGACCTTCTCCCCACCCAGCTTCACATCCTGTCCCTGCTCCAGGAGCAGCGAGGCACCGGCCACGAGCAGGGATGGGATGTCCTGGAGGGCTGGTGACACTGGGAGTGGGGTGGAAGGGATGGAGGGGACACAAGTGTGACAGCATTGCACACATCCTCTCTGCTGGAGCAGGGTTGGGATGCCCTGGAGGGCTGGTGACACTGGGAATGGGATGGAAGGGACGCAAACCTCTGGGAGCATTGCAAACATCCTCCCAGCTGGAGCAGGTATGGGTCATTCTGGAGGGCTGGTGACACTGGGGAAGGGATGGAAGGGATGGAAGGGATGGAAGGGATGGAAGGGATGGAAGGACACAAGTCTGTGGCAGTTTGTCCCACATCCTCCCAGCAGCCCATCTGGAGCAGGGTTGGGTTGTCCTGGAGGGCTGGTGACACTGGGGAAGGGATGGAAGGGACAAAAACATGTGGCAGTTTGTCACACATCCTCCCAGCAGGGCTGGGTCATCCTGGAGGGCTGGTGACACTGGGGAAGGGATGGAAGGGACACAAACACGTGGCAGTTTGTCACACATTGTTCCACCAGCCCTGCTGGAGTAGGGTTGGGCTGTCCTGGAGGGCTGGTGACACTGGGGAAAGGATGGAAAGGATGGAAGGGACACAAACGTGTGGCAGTTT